AGGCGTGTGCCCCAGGGGTGTTGGTGCAGAGCTGGCTGCAGTTGTGCAAGCCCTGGGCACACTCATCGATGTCTGGCAGTAGGGAAGAGAGTGGCACAGGGTTACAGCACGCAGGGGGAAGGCAGCACAGCCCTGTTGATCCACCCCAGCCCTTCCAGTGCTGCACATCTGGTTGTAGGGATGGGAAGGGACAGAGCTGCCCAGGGCTCCATCCAGGTATGTGGGAGATGCTGTGGGTGGTCCCCACCCTTCAGCCCCCTCCCCATGCAGCCCCAGGGCAGGCAGAAGCATGGGCAGAGCCCTGCCCCACAGCTCAGCAGGCCAAGCTAATAGACAGGATATAGTTTATTGGGGGAGTTCTCCAGAAGAGGGGCTGGAAGACTGAGCAGGGTCCAACTCCAAACAGTGGGATCAATATGTTAAAAAAACAGACCAGGAGGGTCCTTCCCCCACAGGGCCTGGAGGACCCTCCTCTGCCAGAACTGGGGAGGGAGGTCCCCGTCACCGAGGAGGGGGCAGGAGAAGCACACACGTCTCAGGCCAAACCAGCAGGCACATGGTACGGTATCGAGGCGACGGAGCAAGCAACCACCCAGGAGGTGCCGGGGCGGCAGGAGCAGTGCTGGGAGGTGCCGGTGAAGGGGTGCTGCCCCTTTTGGAGGGGGTCTCCCAGACACGGTGCAAGGGGCAGCCGGGCTCCATGCACCATTCACCGCAGGCTACCCTGGCAGGGCACAGCCAGCACTTCCAGGGCAGTTGGACATGGAAAGAGAGAGAGAAAAGGAGAGACAGGCAGAGGCCGGCCGGTCCTTCTGCCAAGGCTGCTCTGGCATGTTATGGGCAGGGGTTAAAGTGCATAGAGACAAAGGCAGAGTCCAAGGACTGTAGGGAAGAGGGAACTGTGGGGGCGCCCAGGCCAGCTCCCAGCAGAGGGGTATCCCCCAAAAAAGGCCACCTGAGCTGCACAGACAAGGAGAGAGAGAGAGCAAGAAAGAAAGAGAGAGAAGGGGAGTTAGTGGGGGCTCAGCAGAAGGCACAGGATGAACAGATACAGAGCAGGAGGGTAAGCAGCTGGGCAGCCACCCGGCAGGTCGCAGGATGTGGCCAGGCCTTCAGCAGGGGGGCAACAGCATCCTGAGGTGGTGCTTAGGGGCTGCTGCCCACTGGCTGGGCCAGGCTGCAGCGG